ACATAGAAATGTTCTAAATATGTTTATTTCACTGGGCTCTCCTGAAGAAAGTTAAGAAGAAAAAATAGCCATCATTTTACAGGATATAAATCTAAAAACCAAAGTCTTTGCAGAACCTATGCATTACACTTTTTAATTCTTTTTAACATAAGATCATCTAAGACATATTACTTTACGTCCCTAACATCTTAAAAGAGAAATACAATCTTTTCCTACAAACGCTGGGTCTTCACTATAAACAATAATCATGGAACAATGGTTGAAGTTAGTGGCAAAAAATAAATAAATAAAATTTGACAGGGAATGAGCATAGAAGGGATTGCAGAATTTGTTTCCTTGACAAAATTACCTGTTTTCTAGTTATTTGCCTCTTTATCATAAGTTGTAATAGGAGGGTGTAAAAAAGTTATGAGATCTAGCAAATATGGAAAAGTAAAAATAAAGAAAAACTAAGACAGCAAAATTAATTTGGTGTGAAAATCAGAATCTACCCTCCCTCACGGAATTCCTCTCAGTCCTCCCTCATATTTCCTATTCCCACACTTTGGGAAAATGTGTTCAAAACCCCTTTTGGAATTTGTCATCATCATCCTTGTAACATCTTTCTTGTCCAGTCTACTCTTTCTTCTAATGTGTCAAGAGAACAAATGCAGAGGGCCACTTCATCTGTGTATAGGCCACAACAATGCCTCTGTGTACAAAGGAAGTGCCAAGACATTTGGTGAACTGATTATCTTCAGTAAATACATTTTCACTGCTGTTAGCAATATCTAGAGAGATGCTGAGAGTTAGACCTCCTACAACCTGTAACAATGCATGAACAGGCAGTATTAAGAGTCAAGAAATCCATGTAACAGAATCTCTTTAAAATCTACTTCCTCTCTAGGCCCTCCCTGGTGGCACAGCAGGTTAAAGCACTGCACTAAGAAGCTTAAGCCAATTCAGCATGAGTTCGATCCCTGCCTGCCCGGGAGGAGATCCACATGGCGTGGTCCTCTCCTGACCCGCCCGCTGCTCCCCTTAGCATTGTACTTCATCAATCTGCCTGTTCTGCTCCCCACTCTGTTCCTGGTGAATCCTCTCACCATCTGTAAAATTTTAAGAGAGGTAAAAATAAAATAAACCATGACCATAAATGATATAATTTATATGCTTGTGGACACTTGACCTGCAATAGTCATTATAT